ACACGCGCAGGAGGCCCGAGAGGTTCTTTAAGACGTTACCTCAGGGGCATGATCAAGCGTGGATGCGACATGCGCGACTTGTGGGAAAATAAACCCTGGTAGCCCCAAGGAACCAGTGGACTATCCGTGATTACATATGATTATCCCATTCATAAATGGGTTAACACCGTAACCCCAGTCAATCCCCAGTTACCAACCACTTACCAAGTGGGTTGATCCTCTAAGTAGGGGTTCTCGTCATGAAAATGTGGCTTATCCCCATGGATTATATAAAATGGAGATGAGATAGATATGGCTGTCTCTGAAATTTGTGCATACATACCCCATACTTGCAATGTTTATGGAGAAATAATGATCAATCATCAAGCTTCACAGGATAGCATTTTCAATTAAACCCATATGACATATGCCATATGATCATAGTGACCTATCAGTGCAAATCATAACCCATGTAAAGTTTAGATGAAATATGATGACATCGATCAAATTCGTATTACCCTCTGGTAATTTAACATAGCTATTGAAAATCACCATTTATAGTGATGTTTCCCATGAAAAATGGTGATTTTTTCCATAGTTATGTTAAATTACCAGAGGGTATACCCCCTGGCAATCCCCCCCATTTATAATGTTCCCACTGAAACCTCCATTGAAAGCCGAGGTTTCCCAGCTCTTCCCAGCCAGGGAAAATGGCGAGCTTCTGAAGTGGCGCAAGCGACTTGGGACTTCACCAGGGTCCGAGCAGAAGCCATCCTCTGATGTGGGAACTGTGGCTCGCAATAAAAAATACTTGATCAACTTATTCAGCTAAAAACTACCCTACCCTACACACACACACATATAAATCTCAGGAGGAAAAAAGGATGCTGCACTCTGGATACTGGATACTCTGGGTCACCCTCCATCGTCCCCGACCCATGGCACCAGCAGCTCCAGACTGGCGCTTTGCAGCATTTCCTGCAGCTTCTCTAATTCGTTGGTCAGCTCTGGTGCTTCTGGGTTACCTCCAGATTTGTGAACTTCCGCCATTTCCCACTGGATTTCCCACTGGAGAGACCTCTTGGAGGCAACATCTTTATGAGAAAACACATGAAAAGATTTTTGAAACACCAAAATATACTTGGAGGCAACATCTCTTACATGAAAACATCTGGAAACACCATATGTTTTACTTGGCATACAGAAGGAGAGATGTAGATTCGACAGGCCCTGGCCAGAGAAGACCAGGGAGACCTCAGAGACCTCAGAGTGCATAACAGGCATAACACGCACCAGGTTGCAAAGCCATTCATCTGCATCCAATGGCATCGGTTTGGGTCCAAATCGTTGAGGTTCACCAAACACCTTAGCTGAACGCGTAAACCCTCTGCATCACAGTAGTGCACTGTGGATTGTCGGGGTTTGCCTGAACGGAGGGTAACAGTTACATGCATTGGTTAATCATAGGTGTCCTATTAACATTGCCATAGGTTGTCGGTTGTGTTCTGGTAAACATACAAAAAACAATGGAAAGATCCACCATTTGTAGCTGGGTAAATCCACTATTTCTATGGCCATGTTCAATAGCTTTTTGTATGTTTACTAGGCAGGGTACATACATTTACCCTCTGGTTATGACTAACAGTTTGCCATGGAAAGATCCACCATTTTTAAGAACGGTAAACCATCTATTTCTATGGGTCATTTCCCATGGCTATGTGACAAATAACCAGAGGGTAAATTCCATGAAACCACGGCTACATGTTACCAAATATTGCTCCAACGGTTATGAACCCATACTGAAATATATCCTATCCGAAAGTGAAACCACATGTCATACTGAATGAAATATGAATTATTTGGCTATGGGTCAAAAGCCTGGTATCCTGGAAACTGCCCAGGTGATACCTCACCGGCCAGGCGGCAAAGACCTCGTTCTTTGGAGGCCGCGGGGGGGTCACCAAAACTTCACCTAGGCACCGATGTGGAAACTGGAGATGTGGGAAGAAACTGATGTGCATTGGAAGCTTCTAGCAAGGAGGTAACTCCAAGCTTTAGACAATGTTCTGAGAAGTGTGATTTTACATGATTTTACCATACTTTCCATTGGACTTTGAAAAAGAGCTACGTGGATCACGCCTGCTGAGCTTTTTGTGTTGCAAGGGTTTTGGGGCTGACAGCATCGATGGGAACAGGCTACACCCATGGGTGTCATTGGCAAGAGTGACAAACCCCAGAAAATAAGACAAAATTCAAGACATAATCAAGGAAAGCCAGGTCGCTGACAAGGGCATAAGAAAGCTTTTGAGGTTCCGGACAATCCTTCTTTATTTCGGGCAAATCATGTTACAGTAAATTCTTATTGTTGGTTTAAGTCCCCATTAAATATAGCATCGAAACCACAGTGGTTTCGTCATGGTGGGACTTGGGGCCTTGGGGGTGTGATCCGCACCCAGCGGCTGTCGGGCTGAAAGAGACGCCACTGCGGCGGAGGCGGCAGAAAGCTGATGGAGACATCCGTGCGCCGGGGCCTGGGAGTTCGCAGGAAATCCGAATGATTTCAGGGGAAAGGATATATAAAAAGGATATATATATATAGAAAGGATATATAGAAAGGATATATGTATGTATGTTATGTAATGTAATGTAATGTAATGTTATGTATGTATGTATAAATTGGTAATGGCCAGAACTGAGCATGTCTTTTCTCTATGCCTTTCAAGTGTATGTATATGTGTAAATATATATATATATATATATGCAGATTATATGATATTATATGTGTGTCTGTGTGTGTGTGGGTTAATTCTAACCTGCGGTACATTGACTTGGGATGGAACTGGGACTTGGGGCCCCACTTGCGGGGCGAAGAAGTTGAAACATGAGCCCAAGGGTAATGGATGCTCTCATGTAATTGCACCATTTTTACCAACAAAACAGTAGTTACTCAGTTACTCTCCGGTTGGAGTTAGCGATCTTGAAGGTCCTAGCACACTCCGCAGCCGGACAACTTCATGGATGTCATCCGAGAACACCCAAATCAATGCACATGGCGCCCCAGCTCTAAGTGAATACACTTAGCCTTACCAGCACTGGTTGGTGGTTTCAACCCATCCCAAATCTGCATGTAATATAATTTCTGTATATAATGTAATGTAATGCAATGATATGCAATGCACGTATGGAAGTGTTGGTAACGGAGGGTCATCATTCCAAATATGATTGGCCATGAACAAAAACAAACTCAAGCCACCATCTACCCTCTGGTAATTTAACATAGCTATTGAACATGGCCATGGAAATAGTGGATTTTCCCATTAAACATGGTAATTTTCAATAGTTATGTAAACGTTTACCAGAGGGTAGCTCTAATGTGTTGCTGGCAAAGTCCCCAAGCAACCCGAACCAAATCATGGAGAACATTCATCCCCATTGCCACAGCTCCCACCATCTGCCATCAAGTCATGCGTCAAGTTCCGCGCCATCCGAGCCAAGCGGGGATCTGAGCCAAAGTCTGCACATGTGAAAAAGATATGGCCAGATTTGGGAAGATAAATTGGTGTGCAATATCTGGTTATTAAAGTGCTTTGGGTATACTTAAATATCATTGAAGCATATTGAAGCTAAATGGGTCTAGATATTCAAGTACGTTGAAGTATACCCTCTAGTACTCAAACATCACAGAGCTGATTCTACACCTAGCTGATGTGTGCTACAAAAGGCTGCTAATCCTGGCGCTTTCACGACCATTTTCAGATGATGTCCACAGATGTCCACAGTATATACAAAGGAAGATTTTCCACAGGGCAAACCGAACGGCAAACCATCCCAATACATTCCCAATCTTCCCAGCGCAATGATATCAACCATCAAGAATCGCTGCTGATTATTGCTGATTTTACCGGTTTACCTACAAGTTTGATTGCTGGTTGGTGGTTGACCTACCCCTCTGAAAAATATGAAAGTCAGTTGCGATTATTATTCCCAATATATGGAAAAATAAAAAATGTCCCAAACCAACCAGATGGAAAGGTCCCAGTATACGTGTCAGCAGTGCCGCGTTAAATTTCACTGGAACTCCGCGCAGAGGGGGGGTACCCCGTGCCCCTCGTCGCCATCGGCCGATGTGGACTTTGCACGCCTCATTCAGAGTTTCCAGGTGGACTTTGGATCATTTGGGGATTCGGATATTCAAAGAGATTCAAAGAGATGAGATACTGGTTGGTGGTATACCTACCCCTCTGAAAAATATGAGTTCGTCAGTTTTTTCTTATGATTCCCAATATATGGAAAGTCATTAAACAAATATTCCAAACCACCAACCAGGATGAGATGAGCATCATTCCAAAATGGCCATTCCATGTCATGCCATTCCAATCAGGTGACTCCAGTTGGGTGACTCCAGTTGGGTAAACTATGGAAAGTAGTCTGTTTGTGTTCCATTTAGACGTCCATTTCCCAGACTTACCGACCTATATGACCTATATCAAACTGGTGATTTTCCAATAGCACAGCTATAGTTTACCAGAGGGCTAACCCCGACCCCACCACCATTCCACCGTTGGGCTTTTTGTTTTGCCGCAGCTCTGCCAGTCTCTCTATCCGGGCGCTGCGACGGTGGGACGCCTCGGCCAGCTGCTCGACTGCTCAGCGTCGGTAGCGCCAGCGCTTCACATTGAAGTACAACTGCAGAACCCCACGGTCAAAGACCACGCGGAAGCCGAACCTGGAGTCAGTTTGAGCTGCTTTGAGTGGGTCACTTTGGCACGAAATTTGGCAACACATATATGGAAGAGCTAAACAAAATCCAAAGCCTATCAACAAGAACCGCCAAAAGTGCAAACAAAAATAGATCATCAAGGACTCAAGGACTGCTATTGGAACTGAAGAGCGACAGGAGACTTGGCTACTTGCAATCCACTGGAAACGTTTCTACAGAGAGCCCTGAAATATCCTGAACTGTTCCCTAGACCATGCTAGATAGAGAGAGGCCGCCATCACCCGAGGAAAAAACATGGTTTGACAAGTTGTCAGTAGGAGGTATAAGCGGATGAATAAGATTAAAGTGGACAGAGGTCAACATATATGTCAACCGCATCATTTGTTTAAGAACCAAGTCCTCTTATACAATACAATGTAGAGTTGGCGGGAAGGTTTATACGGAGCAGTGTCTGAAAGCTTCTCTGGGTGTTTGTCTGAACATGCCGAACGCCAGATACAAGGGGAGGAACATAGGATAACATAGGCAAATAAAGAAGATAATGACGCACAAATAAATGAGGTCAATTGCCCTTTTCCAACGATTATTGAAACATGTGCTGGAAACGGTTCTGCTTTAGCTTTTTCAACCACACAGGGCTTGAAAACTCGAAGTGTAGTTGGCACGGTCAACAGGCTCCCAAAAGGGCGCAAGTTCGTTCATCTTTGAGCCGTGGCTACAAAATATTTCGGAGCATCGGAGGTCGCAGCCATTTGGAGGGCAGAATCATGGAAAGCATCTTCCAAACACGCCTTTTGGGGTTGACAAAAATAGTTCAGGAAGAACTACCCTCTGGTAAACTAACATAGCCATGGAAAATCACCAATTTTTAATGGAAAATAGTCTTCCAACCCCTATCTGCCAGGGTCTATGTTAATTTACCAGAGGGTACCCCTCATGCATTCTATGGTCACTGGTCTTGCTAGTATTGCCGAGGGGCTTGTGGGAAAGGTTCCACTCGCGGTTTACAATCTTGAAGGCGACATCCTGAAAGCGTGCACTGCTGAGGGGCTCACACTTGACAGATGCATGTCAAAATACGTGAAGCATCTCCGGAAAAATATGATGTCCTGTTCTTTCCTAGGCTTCCACAACAAAGTACTTGATCTAACTGGTTGTGAATGGTGCCACCAGAGTTTTACGAGGGGTTTTAAGTGTCACCAAAGGTCAACCATTGCTTCAACGAAGTTGAAACGTCAGGAAAATCACACATACATCTGTGTTTGATTTCCCTGCAGCAGCAAAGCCTACCATGTCCCACAAAGACAAATGGATGGACAAACTACTTTGCCAAAAATGCATGCCCCAACATTGCAATAGTAATCATGATGAAATTGCATAACTACAAGCCACTGGATGTTTTCTCTCGGTTTGTTGGCAAACCAATACAATCATACCCATGTATTATCTGTTCGTCCATGAACTGTCAATGAAAGCCAAAGATCTGGAGAAAAACCTGGCTGACATGATCCATGTCGAACTTCGGGAGGCATCCTTTAGCTTCATCTCCACAGAATTCCGCATGTCCCAGTGCCAAACAATCTTGAACTTTATCAAGCTGGCTAGGTGATGTTTCCAGCTGAGCAAAATGGACAAACCCAGCTCACCATTCAGCATTCTACTGGAACATTACCCATTTAAAATAAAGATGTAGAATCATATTCAATCAACATTGCGATGTCTGTTGCTTTATCAAATGACTTATGTTTATACACACTTGAGTATTTACATAGATACCTATATCTATACATATATATATATATGTTGTTATAATATATATATATTGTTACTATATACTATCATATATATATCTATGCGTGGCAATCATAGCTTAGCTGGATTGAAAATCACAATTTCACAATTTCCCATCCATTTGGGCTACCCCCATTTATGGAAACCCCCATTTAGGGGTGCCTCATACGGTGGTCCGGCGCTGAATCGCAGCATCACCTGGGTCCATGGACGAAGAAATCCAAAGTGATTGGGATTTGATGTGGTAAACCCAATAGTAATAAACACTAATAAACCTACCATTTGGGGGGATGGCTTATACAACCCATAACTTTATGGTGATATTGGGGATGGTTTATGGTTTTGGGGTTTGCCAAATATTAATCCTATCCACCGTTCTTTTTAGTTCCGCTCACATTGTATGGTCCCAAAGATGTGCAAATCATCCTGGGGGTGCAGTTCTTGAACGGGTTTATATCCCAACATATTCCAACTTTATGAAGGTCACACATGGTCGTGGTGACACTAATTAGCATTGTCGTATCACCTAAAATATTCATCAAACAAAAACTCCCAACTGCAGCCCACAGTATGGAAATTTCCTCTAAGATGTCCCTTGAACAAAGTCTTGCAATGATGACACAGGGATTGCTATCATTCAGTGAGTTCAGGCATGAAATTGTAATAGTTCAGGATAATCATTAGTCAGAATTTTGAAAATGAAATCCAAGGGTCAAACATTTTCCAAATGTAGCAATTGCAGTGGGGCCCATCCTCCCGTATGATATGGAGAAATGGACAAATCCTGTCTTGAACAATAAACATTCACTACACGCATGTTGCTGCAGGGCAGCTTGCCAGCATGCGTATCATGAGAATATCAGAACGACATCACGACATGACGATGTTTCTTCATGCAAAAATTAAACGCGTATCGGTTCGTAATTCAATGTAATTTATGTATATGCATGCCGTGTATTTGCCAATGATCACATATTTCACATAAATTTGCAAATTGATCATGTGACTTAATTCTAAAATCTGTGCGAAGCTGGCACTATATGTTTCGCAAAGAATATTGGAGATGATCATCTATTTGCTTGGGGACAAGCTCAAAAAAATAAACATAAAACATATTCCCACTAGATTCCTCAAATGGCAGATTCACCAATTGAAAAATCAATAACCACCTTAAGTCATTGGGTATTTTTGGGGATTAGATACCCTCTGGTATCCTCCGGATAATTTAGCATGTAGCTAAGCATAGATGGCCTATTTAGTTCGATGATTTACCGATAAAAAAACATCTGATTTTTCCATGGCAAGCTGTTATTCATTACCAAAGGGGCATTGGTATGTATCCCAGATGCCTCCTGTATGGTATATTTACCTACAAAACTGGGTGATTTTGGAGGTAACTTTTGAAACATATTTCATATATATATATATATGGTTGGTGGTTTGAACCCCTCTGAAAAATATGAAAGTCAGTTGGGATGATGACATTCCCAATATATCGAAAAATAAAATTCATGTTCCAAACCACCAACCAGATATATATATATATATAATGGAGCAAAGGGTACTGGTGATAATTCAGCCGTAACCAATGGGAATTCTTGCTGGTTCCCACAACCAGCCCCTACCAGCCCCTACCTACTGACCCCCCTGACCCCCGGGTTCCCTGACCGTGTCGGCCGTGTCGGATTTCTCCACGTGGTAGGTGGGAGCCTTGGCCTTGTCGATCAGGTCCGGGTAGAAGATGTTGAACTTGTAGCCTGGAGGATCGATGAAATCCAAATGAATTACGTAGCGACGTAGTTCATCATCACACACGTACACAAACAGAAAAACGCAAATAGCGTGCATAAATAGAACTATTATATATATCAATATCGATACAAGCCTATAAATATAATTAAAATTATGTATATATACACACTGTATGTATATATATATATATAAATATCTGTGTGTGTCTGTGAGTATCCATCATGAATTCATGTAGCAGGCAAGATGGAAAGACTGAGTGTATGTCAACCAACCAATCTGATCGTTCTTCTCCTACAAGGAGTCACTTCTTCAGCAATCTCTCACTCAATCGCCAGGCCTCCCCGCCCGAGCTAAATATTTACATGCACCTTCTGGTACTTCAACACAGCTATGGAAAATGGACCGTAGAAAAAGTATGATTTACCTATTGACATGATGTTCAATGGCTGAAATTACCTATCCGGGTATGCCAATTTGCTTGCCCATTCATCTCCATTACCCTCTGGTAAACATACAAAAAGCTATTGAAAATGGCCATAGAAATAGTGGATTTTCCCATTAAACATGGTGGATCTTTCAATAGCAAACTGTTAAATTACCAGAGGGTATTTATCCCCTACTGTTCAGGTACCGGCTTCATGGCTCCATAGGATGAACTGTGGGATTATCATCCCAATCGTTGGAAGATGATGTGAAGTGTCAAGTAGCCATCGTTGGGTACCAACCACTTTTATATACATTTTTTTAAATATATGTTACCCTCTGGTAATTTAACAATATATTGAAAATTGGCCCATTTATAGTTGATTTACCTATTAAAGCTGGTTATTTTCCATAGCTATGTTAGTTTACCAGAGGGTATATCAGTGATATCCCATGTTTTATGGATGGAAATCAACACCAAGAAAATTTCGCAAGTCGGCTCAGTTCCAGCAATTTCCCTGCGGGTATGATGGATCTTCGGCCGGAACTTAAAACAATGACACCTCATAGACATATATAGTCATCCGGGAGTAGAACATGGATAAACTACACACATTTCAACATCATCAAAAACAAGTGAATAGTTTGTGGAATTTCTATAGTATCTACATCAGGATGACTGTATTCGAATATATTCGGACTGCGACATCCTTCAAGGCACAATGTCAACACAATCCCACCACAAACATAACCATCAATGCCATACCCCTCCGCACCTTGCACGATCTTGGGTGGTGGATTGTCATGATCGTAGTGCGTCTGGTTGTACTTGTTCCATTCAAAGCCCGTCTTCACACGGTTGAAGAACCGCGGCTTTCCTTGGCATTGCGCGACTCGTTCAGGACCCCTCAACAACAAAATGATTTCCAGTAGATTTTGGCGGATTTCCATGTTTTCCAGTAGATTTTGCACCATTTCCAAGTTGGGCCTCCACTTGAATCAACCAACATGCTGTCTGAATTCACCAATCAACCAACCGAAACCAATCAAGACGTCCAGGTTTCGGGGCTTGTACTTGTCCTCCCATTCGTAGCGCTTCTTGTCCAGCATCACCTGCCAACGAGTGGGAGGGACCCGCTTTTACCCGGGTCGGCAGGGTTGATGAAACCCTCTCCAAATTTACATCGGATGCATTGAGCAAAGAAATAACAGTACTGTAGGTACAAGCCACTATTTTCTGAGCAATCAACAGTGGTATGCTATCGAAAGCTCAAATTGGTGCCATTTTCTTCATCATGATTAATCATCATTATTAAGAATGTTTTATCAGTATTCGCCATCATTATTAAGAATGTTTTATCAGTAATCGTCATATATAGTACAGTATATGATCCAAAAAAACAGTACTGTAGGTATAAGCCTGTAAAAGTCACTATTATATATCTATTAAACATACACTGCATAACCACTTGTTTGATATATTATAAACCGTCCTGTAGGTATAAGTCACTATTGCACACTATAAATACTATACCAATTGTATATATTATCCATTAGATCTGTTATACCCATATTATAACCATATTAGAAGTACACTATCTATTTTATCCACATATTCTAACCATATTATATCTAGTATGATTAAGTATGTATAAGTGACTCTTATTCTATTTCATTCTATTTCTATTATAACCATATCTGGTTGGTGGTTTCAACCCCTCTGAAAAAATATGAAAGTCAGTTGGGATGATGACATTCGCAATAAATGGAAAAATAAAAAAATGTTCCAAACCACCAACCAGATATAGTGACTATTAAATATCTATTGATGTATACCCTCTGGTAAACTAACATAGCTATGGAAAATCACCATTTTTAATGGGTAAATCAACTATAAATGGGCCATTTCCAATAGCTACGTTAAATTACCAGAGGGTACCTATTATAACCAATCCACAGTAGCCGTGCGCCTCGCCGTGGAACTCCGAGTCGTCGCCCTTGCCCGCGGCATTGAAGGCCACCTGCGGGTGACATGGGTTGGGGGTACCTTTTTTTCCGGTAACATTTATCATCCGGGAAATCATAATATTAATGGGTAATAACACATGGGGGAATCATGATGGATAATGATAGTAATGACTATCAGCCAAATGCGGCACGGTGAACTTTGCATGACTAAGCACGAGTCCGACTCAGCAGCTTGCAAAATAATAGTAATGATAGGACATAATGATAATAATAATGATAATTATACTAATGATACAATTAAAATAATAATGGGGAATAGTACAGAATAATTATGATAAATGCTGGAGAATAAAAATACAAGTCATACGGATGATGTTAGTAATAATAATAATAATACAGTAAATGTATAAATAATGAGGACTAATAAATATGATTAATGATGGGAATGAAGGATGGAACCATGGATGACCTTTTGATGACCATGGGGGGTAGCCTTCATCTTAACCAATAGTGGCTCCCATACATGAACTCCCACGAATTTTGACCAGACCTCCTGAACGAAACATTGATTTTAGTATTGGAATGTATTGGATCCGTGTATTTTTGAGGGCGCAGTCATGGAGATCATTTAATATTACATTGGCTATATCCCATTATTTCAGGATGATTAAAACCATATTAAAGCACATCTTTGATGCTGAAGCCACCATTTTGATGGGATGAACAGCAACCGTGGTTGCCAATATCCCCATTCTATTAATTCTCTCACATCCCATTGTACCACCACCTTTCCTCATTTTAGATGGTGATTGACATATTCCCTTTCATAAAATTCCAGAATTACAAAAATCTTAATAACCGTTATATCAACATTACTATAACAATGATCAACATTGCTATAATTCTAGAACATGATAATTCTTAATAAATCACCAATATGGCGTGTGATTATCATGCTTCCAGGCTAATTACTACGAACCTTATAATTAGAGGAAATATTGCCATGGTAGTGGCATATCAAAATACTATTAACAACGGTATGGAATACATAGTGGTTCCATTGTAATGACATACCGTGTCTATCCTTTTGTTATTTTGATATATTTTAATTACAATACATTTAGTTACCACACCTATTTTGAGAATTAAACCTGCTTACCCTTTTTTTATGGTAAGATATTAAATTGTATGTTAATTAATACCATAATTACATACCATTCTGATCAAACAGTTCCAATATTAACAAATGTAATAATTAGTGTTACTACTACACATTATGTTACACTAATTGTGATCATAGTCATAACGTTCATGCTAGCAAATTTCATGTTAGGGAAGCACTGATGAACCATAAACTGATGCTTTGTACAAGCCATTTATGGAAACAAAACTTGGGCCGTTTGGGATTATTGGTTCTTATTGGTGATTACCCTCTGGTAAACTAACATAGCTATGGAAAGATCCACCATTTTTAATGGGAAAATCCACTATAAATGGCCATTTTCCATTGCTATGTTAGTTCACCAGAGGGTATTGGAAATGATTTTGATTACAATAATTGCCAACAATGCCCAAGAATTGCCAATAGTCACCAGTTATCATGAAGAATAAAACAAAAAATAAACGTTATATCCTATAGTTATTATCCCTAATAGTTGATATTACCTCATTATTATCATCCCATATATTAATCAGATTATGGTAATGGCAATACATGATCATGTTCATGTCAATTGACAATTCTTTTATGGTACTAATAATGGTATATCATTTAATACCATACCAGACCCCAAAATGGGATATTAACATTTCCCATCCTAATAGTGGTATATTAAGTCTATACTTAAATTAAAAATGAGATATTCATATATATATATATACTCATACATATGTCAACTAATAATGTGGACCTGGTAATTAATACCATGATCATGTGAATTATTGATGATTATATCAACATAATGACTGTTTAGCAGTCAACAGTCTATTATTGATTGGTTATTGAGCGGATGTTGATTAATACTGATTGACTAAGTAGTTTGTTATTGATTGATTATTGATTGAGTACTGATTGATTAAGTCATTTGTGCCCTTCTTTCCAGACCTGCTGAAAACCTGCCATGCACACGCCTCGCCGGAGCCCATGCCCTTGGCCCGCTCGGCCGCCAACAGCTCATCGTCGCCTCGTCGTGCTGCGGGAAGCTGCGGGAAGGCGCGGGGGAGGTGAAAGGACCACCAAAAAAGGGGGGACTGCAGCAGGAAAACTATGGAAAACTTGGATTTGAGTAATTTATGGTGATTTATATCACGAAAAAGTGGGATTTCAAATGATACTAAACAGATGCAACTGTGGATTACATCTTGAAACACGGTGCTTGACCAGCATAATTTGGGATTTCACCACAGAAAAGTGGGATTGAAAAAGAGCAAACGTCAGTTACAAATCAGAGCGCTATGACCTTATGCCTTAACATACTTTAACATACCTTTAAAACACACTACAGCATGCCCAGCAATGAACATGAAAGGATTGCTTTCTCCGCTTTGCCAGGTTGGTCTACTGTTGGGCTCGCTGGACGAAACCAATTCCTACATGCTGCCATAGGCCTGTTCCTACCCTCTGGTAATTTGTTACATAGCTATTGAAAATGGCCCATTTATATCCATTTATAATTTATAGTTGATTTACCTAGTAAAGATTGTGATTTTCCGTAGCTATGTTCGTTTACCAGAAGGTAAATGGTTTAAACAAACATCAGACTGAAAACCTGCAGGATGCAAAAGGAACCCCCAACAATGAGCTGTTTGTTGACGCATGCTTTACTCATTGCCAATGTTAGGTAACCTGCATTGTTGTTAGCTGGCTGCATCACTATATCCCCGTACATGGCACAAGATTCAAATATTTAAATTACCCAAACCACAAGTGGGCTGAACAATATAAACCCATTATTATTGGCTAATATCCCCATGATTGTAGCTAATATATCTATTGTTACTTGTTAAAATACCAACAAGGTTGAACATCCACCAATAATTAACCCTAATACCAAATCTACCCAATCCACTAACGACATCTTAACGAGTAAACAAATCACTACATTTTTTTTTTTAAAGCATTGTTGATTGCTAATTCATGTCAATCCCCCATATGTTCATGGACTTGAACCTAATGTTAATCTTTGTTAAGGCAACCCTTCATCAGTCGGTTTAACCCTTCACCCAAATTATTTTTCTTCAAGCTACCCCAGATCTTGACACCTCTCCATTCACAATATTGAGCTCAGAAATGGGTCCGTCTAGAAATGGGGTATTGCCCACCATTTTTTAGAAACTCATGATTAACCGTGTGGATTGAGGGGTACATTGTTTTCGGATAAACCCGTTTGTGTCAGGTCGGGTTGTTCTCCCATTCTTAAGGTCGAAAAACATGAAACCTCTGTATTTCTTTAAATTCATCCAGATATTCAACATGATTTAACCATATTCGATGGTTCATTCCCATTATGTTACCCTCTGGTAAACTAACATGACTATGGAAAATCACCATGGAAATAGTGAATTTTCCTATGAACAATGGTGGATCGTTCCATCGTTTTTTGTTAACGTTTGCCAGAGGGTAGATGATTTTCGTGGGGTTTTCCAATGGGTTTTCCACATGGCAGCGTGTCAAAACCTTGTACCCCTGGTGAACATCAAAATAGCTGGTAAATGGATGTTCATCCCACTAAAAATGGTATTAATAGGCATTGATCCATAGCCACATCTGACGACCAGGTCTGTTTCCAAGTCATGTCATTCCAAGGAACGGCTGCGGTCGATGGACTGGGACGTGGTCGTGGAAACGGCACCACCTGGGCGGAGCAGGACGAAGATGGGGGCCGCCCTAACTGGTTGGTGGTTGGTTTCTACCCCATGGTTATTAATAGTGGTTAATAGTGGTTAATGATGGTTAGTAGTGGTTAATGATGGTTAATCATTGATGAATTATGGCTGGTTGGTGCTTTCAACCAACCCCTCTGAAAAATGATGGAGTGAAAGTCAGTTGGGATGATTATATATTCCCCATATATGATGGAAAAATAAAAATCATGTTCCAAACCACCAACCAGTGAATGGTTGAACCATGGTAGGAACTATTCATATTCCATTCGTTAAATATGAATGGCTCAACCAGTATATCCTAGTTTTTTTATTAATAGAATTTAGAATATTGGTTGATACCCAGCACATGATGAAAATCGTGGTGATTGATGGTCATTACCTTCCGATGTCGAACACGGCTGAGAAATCCTCTATAAATGGCGGATTTTCCGGCAACCATGTTTGATTACTGTTGGGCAATTGGGATATTTCAAATATATTTAAGAATCTTGAGTTTCACATAGTTTCACTGTTCATTCTAGGTATTCACATGGGGATCTCATCAAAATTGAAAGAAATTCTGGATTTCAGCATTTTTTTGGACCAAGCCGTTGGAGAATCTCCCCTGGGAGTTTGGATCGGTGATGTATCCCATGCCAATGACCAGTTTGGAACTGTGTTTCCCAAGGTCCTGAAACTAATTTGCCATTTACCCGGCCTGGTAAACTAAGAAAGGTATTGACAAGTGCCATAGAAATAGTGGATTTGCCCAGCTATAAACTGGTGGATCTTTCCATAGTTTTTTTTTAACGTTTACCAGGCCGGGTAAATCAAATTTGGAGACCAAAGATGCTGCGCTGGAAAAATTCATCTGGAACATCCCGTCACCAGGAGCTGCGTATTGACTTCCAATATCCACTAGTACAGGTTCATTGGCACTGGCTGGAAAGGAAATATGGCAAACACGACAACTCTGACAGTACTTCATAGCCTAGGCCTAGCCGTATATATATTTGTTGGTCAGATTGTCAGATTTTGGCCATTGCTTTTTCAGAGAAATTTCCGTGACAACGCCTCACCCCAAAAAGAACCAGCATCCTCCCAGCTTCCCGTGGGCATCCGAACCAAAAGCTTCAATGATCGTGTTTCGCACCTGATCTCTGCCGATGCTTTTGCCCCTTAATTTGGATTTTCCGGCCATGTTTGTATTACATGTACTGAAGATTACTGAGGTGCTCATCCAAATATCAACAAAAGTTCAAGGATCATCCCAACACCCCAAATACACAACTATTTCCACCATGTCGCCCCCTTGTGGCTATCATTTCCCATGGATCAATGGCTTGGAGATGCTTGGAGCACCCCTGGTTCTGTGCATAGCGGATTGTCCAATCTTAGACATGTATGGCTTTTCTTCACCTTCAAGATATCTGGCCCACAGGTCAGGGCGAGAGACATGCCCAACATGGAGGAAAGAAAGAGGCATTGAGAATCATTGAGATATATCGAGATGATTGATGCTTCTCGGGTTTCTGGTTCCATCTGATGCCCCACAATTATCAATTAACTAGGGTGATCGGAAATAGGAATGGTTAAAGAACAACGACTACATATTTGAAAACGTTTTGAAACCACCAGCCAGTTGTTGACTCGCATCCACCTTCTTCATTTTTGGTTGCGACAAAGCTGGATGCTGAAGCTCCCCATTTTCCCTGGCCTGTCGCAAGACTCGAAGGTCCTGGGCGGTCGAAAAGGAAGTGAATGTGTCGGACGTAATCACGTAATCCCATCCCCCATGGTGATCCTATGTGATTCTGATGCTATGATCCCAACAATCCGCATGCAATCGTCATAATGTTATGATTCTCATTGTAATCCCAGTAATCCCATCCCATGGTATACGGTCATTGGGAATCATTGGGATGAAAAAAAGGTGGCAATTTTCATCACGGTTCCTGGGTGTGGGAAATCCGATGGGAGAATCCAACATTGGAAGCACACGTCTACAGAAAAAAAACTACAGCAACCCGGATAGAAAGGTGGGAAACTTGGAAATGTGAGGTAAATATGATGTAACATATCATCTATAACATCCTGGAAACACGTTTCGACATCTTCTTTTGGCTGATGCTATTTCATTATGTGCAGGTCATTTTCACATCCTTCCCATTCGGTCCTCATCTGGATCCAGCAGGTCTTCTGGGTGGTACTTGCCTCGTGGCAGTCGTCTCGTTTCACTGGTCTTCCAACCTTTCCAAATGAGGGCCGGTTGGGTCCAAATTAGCAAAACACATGGGCCCCAAAAAACATCATGTCACCTCCGGATTGGAAGTTCCTCCAACTAGTGATTTGCGATTAAAGTGGTACTAGCCCATTTACAAAACAAACCAACACTCTCGGGGCTTCAGCAAAATCCATGCTACAGCTCAGGATTACCACGAACCTGGAGGGCAAAAGATGTATTTAAAGCAACAACCACATATTATGATTAATATATAAAATCTATTTTGGTACAATACTTAATATATCTTAATATCGTAGTCTATTATAGTATATTATAAAATATGATGAATACTAATCCATTTAAGGTCAAATCACCTAGCGCAGCATCCAAGATATCCAAGGCTTCCCCAGCTGCGCTCATCTAAGGCACTGAGAGGTTCAAGCACTGGACTGTAAATCCCAGTGTCCTGTGGCGGAACTGGGGAAGGCCTGGCGATCTAACTTTGCTGGGAAAATGCTGAAGGAAATCAGAAGAAATATAGACATTCATTGGATTGGTTTAAGGGAAAATCTACAGGAAACCATGGTTTTTACAATCAAAATAAAGGGCTTTCCTGTAAATTTTCCCATCATCCAATTCTATGAGACATATATCATTCACGTTTGCGGGGTATCAATGAAGTATTGCATCGAAAACTCATGTGGGTAAAACAATGCCATTTGCACCATCCCCCAGTCATCACCATTTTTATAGGTGGTATGTTTACCATTCCCAGTCATGGGTGGTTTATGGCATTGTTTTACCCACATTATATAATGGGTGAACATCTATCATTAATTGTGATAAACATGGGATATACTATTGTGAAAATCGGGATTAACCAATATTAACCAGTGTTTAATCCCAATACCCTCTGGTAATTTGTTACATAGCTATTGAAAATGGCCATAGAAATAGTGGATTTTCCCAGCGATAAAATGGTGGATCTTTCCATTGCAAACTGTTAGTTTACCAGAGGGTAACCAGTTGTTTATAACCAGGGGTTGGTAAATGTCCTAATTGAACATCACCCAACTATTGGGGATATAAACGCCAACAAATACTTGAAAGTGATGTTCAAAATCCCCAAAACAGGACATTTACCAACCCTTGATAACAATGGGATGTTCCAGCCATACCAGCCATGTTAGAGAAGTGTACTGCGAGGTCATCCAGAGTTGCCATCAGTCGGATCAAGGTCAGTCGAAATGCCCTGGAACATTTTGAGCAAATCACTGGACGCTTGTCAAACAAAAAACAACGAGACTTAACACAACCCACATACATAATAGATTATATATATATGGGATTATAGGTGTATATATATATATATATCCTCATATATATATATACACAAATAACCAACTACAAAGTAGCTGTCTGATTTTGTGGATTCCAGTTCACAAACTTCGCCGATGTCGCCATCAACACGATTTGAGGCCCACTGTCGCTTGGTGCGTATTCGGATGGTGATTTTCGTGGTGATCCCCTTGAAAAACATGGGAAAATCATGATGATCCTCCTCTTCGAAGTCGTCTAATGGTTCCAACCTGAGCCACGTAGATCAAAAAAGCGCTGCGAGAAAGGGAAACCTACAATTCATGGATATTCATGGTATATTCATATATTCATGGCATGTTCATGGTATATTAATACTGATGAATATTGATGTTATAAGTTTAACCAACAGCAAATAGGGATATAATCGGGACATCCATGCCATTTTGATCCATTTTTGTTGATAGAAACATGAGGATTAACCGTTGGATTGTGCTTTTCTCTCTCTCGCTCCAGAGCCATCAGCAAAGTCCCTCATAAGGGGTGCCTACTGATGACGGCCGTTGGGAAACGTAGCAGGGGCCAGTTTGGCATACCCCCCCCACAAAAAGAACAGGAACATCACATTAAAATAGTGATGAGTTTTCTGTGCTAGCTTTTTGGGGTGACTAGGTGTGAATGTGTATATATATATATACACACACCCCACGTGAAATCGACGTGAAGCGGCCAACAAGTGCCAGGTGGATACTCACCCTCACCCAGCAACAAGGTCAAGTTCCAGATTCGCATTTGGGCTAAAAACATATGTATATATATATATAACAATATCTAAAAGCCACTACATTTGAGTTCTTAACCGGCCCTTCATCGAGGTTTATACTAAATATGTCCATGGAGTTCCTCACATCCCAAAAAACACAAACAAATCAGCAAGTCAGCAAATCCCTGAAATTACTGTGTATACAACATATACTATATATATATATATACTATATATATATACTATATATATATATATGTATATATACTATATATATATATATGTATATATACTATATATATATATCTTTGTCTCTCTCTCTCTCTCATTGGACTTGACGTATTGACCTCCCAACCAGTCAACCCTCACAGCGTGTGTCCACTAGGTTCTCCCAACTCTGGACTAAAGCCATCAGATTCTCCTCCAGGTTTCCCCGAGGGCACGTCGTCCCACTCCTGGCGCAACTGTGACAGCACCGATCTTCCAGTTGCGCTCCAGCTGTAAGGGGAATTCAATCCCTAATCTTACCCTTTGGAAAAGGTTCGGAACCTCTCTCTGTCTATACAATTCTATATATATATATACTGTATGTGTGTGTGAGCACCAAAAGTATGTTTTATCATATTTGGGCTTACCACATGTCATATTTGAGCAGTGTTCAAAAAACACCATCTCATCCCTCTTTATGTCTTGGTTGATAGAAGTTCCCATAGGGGATCGTACTGTAAAATAATTATGCATCATAGTGGGCCGGAAGTGTCAGCCGCAGAAAATTCGTACAAGTCATCTAAGATATGGTTTTTTCGGGAAGGTATGACCACCAGAAAACCCTACATTTGGCTTACAAGACTTCTGGGTTTCCTGCAGATTTTCCATGAACCAAGCCAGTGAAGAAAAACGCGGCGTGCCTGAGCCTTCAAAGCTTTCAGGCCTCGGTCCATTTCTCAGGTGCCCAGGCTACCCTGGAAGAACCTATTCATGGGTTCCAAACTGAAGACCTACAAGACTATGTTCCAAGGATTGAATAGGGATGTTTTTTTGAAAATCATGCAGACTTGAGGCCGGGGGTGGATGACGAAAGCTAGCGGGGTAGGAGAAAGAAGGAAGGGAAGAGGTGAGTTGCGGAGGGACTGTCATCATCGGGTCGCGGCATTGTTCGTCCCAACGAGGATGCAACAATGATATATTGATATATGATATATAACAATGATATATATGGGGGAGGGGGCAGGGGGGGGCCCTTTCGCGGGAAAAATCACGTGATGTCCTTGGGGAGCCCCGGAATACGTGCTAAAGCAAGAAGACTCTAGCGAGCTGACGCTAGCTTTCGTGATAATGACAATAATTGCCAATAATGATAAAATGTAATTGAATAACGATGATGATGATGATGATGATGATGAATGATGAATGATGAATGATGAATGATGAATGATGAATGATGAATGATGAATGATGAATGATGAATGATGAATGATGAATGATGAATGATGAATGATGAATGATGATGATGATGATGATGATGATGACGAGGATGATGATGATGACGAGGACGAGGACGAGGGAGAGGACGATGACGATGACGATGATGATGACGATGATGATGACGATGGTGATGGTGGTGATGGTGGTGATGGTGGTGGTGGTGGGGGGGGGCCCCCCTTTCGCGTGAAAAATCACGTGATGTCCTTGAGCAGCCCCCCCAATACTTGCTAAAGCAAGAAGACTCCAGCTAGCTGACGCTAGCTTTCGTGATTAGAGTGAATCGGAAAGCCCCCATGATCTTCATGGGAAAATCGCCATGGTTTCCGGTTAAGATTTTCCCAACAAAACCAATCCATTGAGTGAAGGGATTACTACAGATTTGTCCTCATGCCTTCATGCCCCCGAATGTCCCAACGTGCATCTATATCTATATCTATATGTATATCATGCATGAATATGAACATAACAGTCAGTGATGACACACAAAACAACATAGATATGTATATATATATACATGCATCATATACATAATATATATATATATATTTATTTATTTACAATATCTATATATATTTAAAAAAATCATGTATATATATATATACATAACATACAGATATATACATAATATATATATATAATATTTATATATACACACACATAATGTATATACATATGGTTAAGTATGATTAAATATGTATATACACATACATTATGCATATAATATATATATATATATATACACATATGCGATTGCTATGCCATACTTCGCTATAGTTATATCATTATCTTTTATTGATGTCTATATGTGTTTGTTATTTGGTTCATCTTTAATTAGTAGTAAACATCCCAACCTGACCAAATTGACCGCAAATAGCAAAAAACATCTGCCCTTTGTCGGCAAACAAGTTGTCATGCAAAGATTGTGATTGAAATCATGTGTACACACACACACACATGTATATATATATATATATGCATGCATGCGAGCTGATTGCAAAGTCTGTGCAACTGCGTCATGCGGCATGCTCTAGCAATAGCTGTACCTGCCAAAAAAACAAACAAACAACAGTAAGGTTATATGTTGTTTTTTCTGCCTCGTTTATGACACCTTTTTGAAACACCCTTAAGGCAGATTTTACATGATCGTGCCTTTAAAAAAAACTATGGTAAGAATTCAGTGGCATGAAATTACAACATTTTCCAGGTTTTTATTCCACCCCAACCATCCAAATGTTCCAAATGTGTTTTCCCCAAAAAGAAATCACACCTAGCCCCATCGCCATCCTTTCCACCCAGCAGGCCCATCTACCAAGCGACGTGCAGCTTCGGCCTCTTCAGCCTCTTGTTCCTTTTTCTCCAGCCACACGTCCGACTTGGCTTTGGCCCTGGCGATCTGAGATCTGGAGCGGGACTGTTTGAAAGACGCTGAAAGTTTTTTTTTGGTTGGCCTAAACAAATTACAGTAAACACATATGGGATATCATATTGGTCCAAGATTGGGATTAGGCACATATGTAAAGAACATATATAATTTATAAATAAATAAACATATATATATATAAATTGGCAGTGTGTATATATATATATATTATATTATGATGATGAAATAATCACCAACTATGTTTTTGTTCTTCGGGGGGCGCTGAAGTCTGATGCTTGGGTATTCACCGTCAACATCTTGGGTATTGGGATGTGGTGGCACGGTGGGTGTTCTCAGATCATCAACCAACAGCCACCAAGAAACAACAGCCCTGGGATTAAAATGCTTGGTTTGGTTAAGATAATCCCAAATGTTGGTTGATGATTTTTATAGTAACCATAAAATTTGGTTAAAATATAGCCATCATATTTGGTTGATGATTTTAAAATAACCATGAAATTTGGGATTGTGAATCATCAACCAACATTTTTTCGCGATCATGATGATCGATCACAATCCCAATTGGTTGACCATAATCCCATGGAGTTTGAACGCGCAGCGACTTTTCTCTGCAGTGCAAAAGTCAAAGTTTGGCCAGCCACATGGCAACCCTGCCCCACTGCTTCTATGACACAGTCGGGAAAAAACACATCCGGCTGCTCAATGTGAACATGAAAACCGGTTTCCAAAAACAAAAGCATTACATAGGCATTCAATGGCATTCATCTCCCAGTCTTTAGAAAATATAACGACCGTTGAAACTAACCCAGACTTTACTCAGATTGGGCGTTTATCCCTGGGCTGAAGTCATACTGCTTTATGCCTGCGGACCGAAAACCGTTCCCGTAAAACGCACGTTTTTGAATATCGCGATTGTGGGGTGGAGTGGGGTGGGGTGGGGGGGCATGTTAACGTTCCTTGTGCTTCGTACATGATATATTGCCATGCTGCTGAGATCTCTGGGATCGTTTACTACGTTACATGTGCTGACGGGGTGGGGTGGAGTGGGGTGGGGGGTCATGTTAACGTTTCTTGTCCTTCGTACATGATTATATTGCCATGCTGCTGAGATCTCTGGGATTGTTTACTACGTTACATGTGCTGATGCAGTGGGGTGGGGTGGGGTGGGGTGTGGGTCATGTTAACGTTCCTTGTACTTCGTACATGATATATTGCCGCTGCTGAGATCTCTGGGATCGTTTACTACGTTACATGTTGCTACGCTGCTGAGATCTCTGGGATCGTTTACTACGTTACATGTTGCTACGCTGCTGAGATCTCTGGGATCGTTTACTACGTGACATGTTGCTACGCTGCTGAGATCTCTGGGATCGTTTACTACGTTACATGTTGCTACGCTGCTGAGATCTCTGGGATCGTTTACTACGTGACATGTTGCTACGATGCTGAGATCTCTGGGATAGTTTACTACGTTACATGTTGCTACGCTGCTGAGATCTCTGGGATCGTTTACTACGTTACATGTTGCTACGCTGCTGAGATCTCTGGGATCGTTTACTACGTTACAATGTTCTATGTGGAATCTGATGAAAAAGTCCATTCCCAGCAACTTGAGTGCCAAAAGTGACCTCTTGATGGTGTATGCTAGAGCTTGGCAATGGAGATGCATTCACAAGAATGCTGACTGCCAGCTGATAACGGTGCATGCGTTGCAGCGATGACGCTGAAAAGCCAAAAAACGCGCCCCACGTTTTTCCAGGATTTCCAATCATCAAATCAGCACGGCACTGTGGTAAAATCACTATTTTTTTAAAAAACGTGCGTTTTATGGGCACGGTTTCCGGTCCGGCGGGTGCTTTATGTATAAGTTTCCTGGCCAGCATTCAAAATGTTCAAGGTGTCCACACGCAACCATCTATATACCCTGACCGGACCAGTCTTGAATGCGTCCCCATTACATATGGTAATATTGTTGGCTATATTCGGTTACATTTCTGTTGGTTTATTCCAAAATATGTGTAATTAATCCTTGTGTTTGCAAGTATGATTTGCCCCTTTATAACATCGCATTGCACGGTGAACAGGACAGCAATGTCAAACCAGGTCCTCATGTCAAAACAGTGACCAAAAACCATGTTTGTTGATTCTCTTCGCTTCCGTTCTTTGCAAATCTCAGCCCATGTTCAGCCCAAAACCTAGGATAGATATCGGTGTTTTCTGATGCTCACGTATTTGCCAAAGTTTCCTGATCTTGAAGATTCAGCTGTAAGACGTCAAAATTAATCTTGGGTATCGAGATGTTGCGCTATAGATCCAGAGTCATATGTATATTATATATATATAATATAGTCAAATCATGGATGTCATTGGATGTCTACCTTTTAGGGTCCTCACTACTCACTACCATCACACAGGGGTGCCGGCGCTTGTGTCTTCTCAAGGTTGAAGCCACTAGTGCTGTACAGCCAGCGGCCCCCGCCCAGGACTGCCGTGGCCAACCGAACTCCTTTGGGGCACCAAGGGCGACCCAGGCCGGAATCATCGAATGAATGTTGGCATATGTGCTGTGTCATATTTAATACATATATAATATTCCTGGAATGGTTGAACATTGGTTCAACATCTTTCTTCTACTCGTATCGACTCGTTGTCCCGTAACATGGACATTTTGGGGGTCAATTTACAATTTTCAGACAGGGCTACTCAACAGAAACTATCCCACTATGCATCATGGTATCTCATTTCTATCTCCCCATGTTTGCTATTGTTCACCACGTTTGATGATAAAACCACAAATAATAATGAATAATATGTATATATGATATATGTATATATATATATGTGTATATAATGTAAATTAAAGAACACACACACATCGCACACACACATCACACACACACACAACACACACACATATATATAAAGACAAAGAAACACGATACTTCAATATATATATATATATACACATATAATTAATGATATATATATATACGTATAATTGAACTTATAAAACCCTCAATGGTCTTGTTCTGGCGCCGACCTGGGTGTCTGCAGTCGTTTCCGGCTCAAAAAACCGTCACCGGGCCCCTCTTGAAGAGTTGCACTCGAATCTCATAGACCGGAGCAAATCGGCCCCCGCCTCAATCGTCGAAGAAGGCCTCACCTAAGAAATCCAAAATGTTCTTTTGACCTTGGACGATGGCAAAGAAGAAAGAAAGTCCTGGCAGTTTCACCATGTTTCAACGGTTTTGGAGAGGGAAAGCAACAAAGTATAGCCAACGAAGAAAACTTAGAGTGGGATGGTAACCATAAGAGGGAATTGTAGGATCTTGGCTTATCTTGGCGTTATCTCCCAACTCTATGGGATTTTTCAACACCATTGCTGCAAATCCCGCTGTCTTCTTGGCTTCGGCAGTGGGGATCCGGTGAGATCTTGCTTGCAGGATTGCAGCTTGAAGAAAACACATGAAAACACGAGCTCTCCAGGAAAGGTGCTTCATTTTTTCGGTGCAGAAACACACGTTGTCACATTGTGTCACATGGATTTGGGCAGTCTCGCTCGTATCATAATGCCACCAATTTAGCTTGGTTTAGCTATATAGGTTGCTGTACAACTAGGCTATCAGATGGGTTTATCATAGGAATATGTGGGGACATCTATATAGAGTTTTTGTAGGGTCAACATAAACTGGCTCTGGCAAACATAATTTGAAAAAACATGCACAATAAAAGGCACATATCATCAGTTTCACAGATTAAATCCCTATGTTTGATGGTCAAATCATGTTCGATCCCCGTTTCTGATGGGTAAATCATGATAAATCATGATAAATCATGGTTTAAATCGCTTTTTAATGACATTTATATGACATTTTGATGCGCAACAGAATCTTTAAATTCACCATGTTCATCCCAGGTACGCCCCCCTTCCCCCCACCGCGCAACGGGGCGCTAAACTTGGACTCCGAGAGCTGCGGCTGTGCCGCCTTCACGCGCGCCTTCACGGCGTCGATGCGCGGATGCAACTTGTCCACCAGAGAGTGGATCACGAAGCTGCCATAGCCTCCATTGGGGAGGGGTTGGGGGAAAAGGGGATGGCGTGGGTTGTTGTTGATGGTTTTTACCATCTGGTTATTTAACAGTTTGCCATGGAAAATCACAATTTTTAATAGGTAAACCATCTATGTCTATGGGTCATTTCCCATGGCTATGTTAGTCATAACCAGAGGGTAAATCTTTTCAAGATGTGCACATTTCTCTATCGCCATCCCGGAGGTTCAGCATGGGGCTGAAGGCATCTGAAGGCGAGCAGGTGCATATTTGTTGTATCTTTTTTGATTTATATTGGAAAATCAATCAATAAACAAAACTGTGGGGTCAGTTGTCCCAGAAACACATTGGAAAATGACATGGTAACTATCGGGTGGTCCCCGGTGGCTCGACTGACCGACCACCATGCTTCTGGAAGGCAATTGAATCCACCCCGTTTACAGGAAACATCTAGGTTTAATGGTAAAACCACGTAAAATCCACATGATCCTGTTTGATTGACATTTCCAGCAACACCTGCCCAATAAGACCCATCATCTCCCTTGAATCCACGTTACCACAGTGTTTCTCAACATTTTCACCACTACAATCTTAAATGAAACCCCGTATTTCCGGCACAAAATCATGTTTTCTCATACGTGACCCCCTGTCCCTGTCCCAATAAAGGCCAGGCACGTGTGGCCGCAATCGTTTCGAGTGACTCTTCACCCTCCCCAGCTAAGAAGGCGTCTGCAATCAGCGCCTGGCCTGCAGAGTTTGGAAAACGGATCGATGCGAAGGACGAAGCGGCTCGGCTTGGCTTCGCCAGGGATTGAACCATCAAACATGGGATTTCTGGGGTACCCTCTGGTAAACTAACAGTTTGCAATGGAAAATCACAATTTTCAATGGGAAAATCCACTATAAATGGCCATTTTCAATAGCTATGTTAAATTACCACGGGGTAACTCTTTAGATGGGATATGGGACCCCGAATGTGGCAGGGTCTAAGTCGGCTGGGGCGACAGTAAGCTGGAAAAATATAGGTTGGTCATTCCCACGACGAAAAGGAAAAGGCATTGATAATAGTCACAACCTACAAACACGGGGTTATTACATAGATAGATAAACTATGATAGATTCATATTCAGTGGAATAACACAGTCCCCTCGCCAAAATGTTGAGCAAATATCAAAATCATAGCCTATGCCACATAACTTTGGATTAAATAGTTTCACACCCCAAAAAAATCGAATTTCCCTTGAATGGTGGAAGGGGTGGCGGGGTTTTCTTTGGGGGGGGCCCGGGAGCAAGCAGAAATAAGACTTCAACACTCGTTTGATCATGGTGGTTTGACAATTTGATCAGCCTGCTATGAAAAGGGCTCACCTATACAGAATCATCAACCATAAAGTGCGGATTTAGCGCATCACAATGGTGACAATAGAGTACTCAGAATAAGGCATTCAGTCTATGCTTCTCTTGTCAGCGCTTCATCCACCAATTCAAAACAAGCTTGCAGCTTGCAGCTTGGAAACTGGCTTCCGTTAATTGCAACAAATCCAAACTACTGACTGGAACACCAAAGTGCTTTCCGTAAAATCACCGAGGGTCACGGTGAACCCCCCATGAATTGTTCCATTTGGGGCGCAATCACTGGTGGATGACCGCTTCAACCCATCATCTGTTTGTTGATCTAGAGTTGACATTTTGGAAAAAAAGAAAGAGCATTTGGAAAAGTTGGAGGAAGATCTGGTATATACCGTAGAATATACATGATTTCTTGGCAACTTTTGAGCTAAATCCAGGTGTCTACTCACGTCGGCATGTTCCAGCATCCGCTGCACAACGTTGCTGGCTGTCTTGTGGGTAGCATGCTGTAAGACCTGGGCGGTCCACAAAGCGAAACAATTTGCCCCGGCCTGGGGCCTGGTCATTGAACAGCTTGCGAACTGGAAGCCATGGACAATTGAGTTTGATGATTTATCTATTTTATGAATATATATAAAATATATATATATATAATATAATATATATATATATACAATATATATACATATATATATGATATATAATATATATATATATATATATTTGTTTAACACTGATTGCCACGGCTATGTTAAATGTTAAATTACCAAATGGTATATTGACATTGAATCAATATTGAGCCAAGGGAAAGGCACAGTTCCACATGCTCATTTCACTTAGTTTCTGTCCCCCTGGCCTTCACGAAACCTCCTCTTTTCTCCTCTCCAAAGGGGCTGACGTTGCTGGCTCTGGAGGCCCCAAGTTTTAGAGAATCTCCTTTTTGAGCATGCCATCTTTGCTGACAAGACACATAGGGCAGGAGCATTTGAAAGCATCTGGTTTTCCTGTTTGCGTTTTGACATGGTTGAGCTCAAAATATCGAGCCCACCAACAGCCCACAGAGTGGAATGAATTATGAGACATAAAAGTAGCCACAGATCTGAAAGAACACCATGCTGGTTGGTAGTTAGCTGAGGGAACACCAAGTGATGGTTCCAAAGAAAGCATAACCGTCACCAACAAGCTTGCCTGTTTGGGGGGAAATGCTTCATTCTGGTGCCAAAATTATGGTACCAATGGGCCCACAACATTACCAAATGGCAACCGGGAGTATGAAACGACCCGTTTGGGTGTGATACCCTCTGGTAATTTGTCACATAGCTATGGAACATGGCCGTAGAAATAGTTGATTTATCCATTAACAATTGGGTTTTCCATAGTTTTGTTAGTTTACCAGAGGGTAAGTCTGAATTCAAACATCCCACAATCCATGCTACGACACCGAGAATCCGTTCTGGCATGCCATGCTCGAAAATGTGCTGCACCACAAAATTGGCCTTGGATTCGCTTTTCTTTGGGCCCGATCCAAAATTCCCAGACAAATTCCTACGATTTTCCAGATCTTTGGTGGTTTAACAAATAACCAATCAACAAAAAAAGGTGTCGCACAATTCTGGTGGATTATCCAGCCAAAAATCATGTTGATCAACATTTCTTACATCAAACAATAAGAACCAATCACCAAGAAATCGCCATGTCTGGTTGCACAAACAAACACATTTTGCATCAATTCCAGGTGGCGAAAGGGTGCCGCGCCAGGGCTTCAAGGTTTGCTGCGCCATCAAAAAGTTCATCTAAGAGAAAGCCAATCTGCTCCTGCTGCAGCTATTGTGGGATATGGATGGATATGGATACTTTCCCGTTTTTAGGAACATGCCCTCCAGTAAAGAAAAAAGGGCTACTATGGAAAATCACCACAGCCAATGAAAGCCATAGGTAAAGCATCGAACTTTAGATGGATCTACAGTATGGGCCATTTTCCACAGCTATGTGAGTTTACTGGCATCACACCCACACCATGGGCTAAGTTTCCTTTTGGGGATGGTTCCCCCAATCCAAAGCATCATTTCTGTCGTGAGGTCGCCAAGTTTGGTCGCAGTGTTTTTTTTCCTATTATAGCTCCACTATACCTCCAGCTTTGATGGTGATGTTCCGTGACTATTTATTGAATCCCTTTGTATAAATCCCATAAAAAATCCCAATTGTTCATGGTTCAAACGGCATTGTTTGATGGTTATGGTCGTCCACCATGTTAAACCCGAGGTGATACATATCTGCCATCAAGGCCAACTCTTGGTGAGAAGGCCAAGGAAGGTTCATTGAAGATGGGACCCCAAACTATAACTAGAAACTGATGAACAATGAAGCAATTCACTAGTTGCAATTAATAAGCCAATGACACAATTAACCCATGAACAATGAAACTATTAACTATCCCTCCATTAACAAACAATTATTAGCCATTAACTATTTTACAACCATTAAATAAATAAATAAATATATATATATAAAAATTATATATATATATATATATCTGGGCAAATTATAATATTTCACGAAGGGACGGGGGTCACATTCGCCCCTATTCGAGGGTCACATTCGCCCCTAACCCAAAAGGGGTCACATTCGCCCCTAAACAACAATAATTTAAATATGTTACTCAACCCTTTAGGGTTTAACCTGGGGACAAGGGGACTTTTAGGGGGACTGGGGTTTAGGGGGGGACATGGGGGCATATCTTGACTTGTCTCTCTATTCCATATGTTACTCAACCCTTTAGGGTTTAACCTGGGGACAAGGGGGCATTTAGGGGGACTGGGGTTTAGGGGGGGACATGGGGGCATATCTTGACTTGTCTCTCTATTCCATATGTTACTCAACCCTTTAGGGTTTAACCTGGGGACAAAGGGAAATTTAGGGGGACTGGGGTTTAGGGGGGGACCTGGGGGCATATGTTGACTTGTCTCTCTATTCCATATGTTACTCAACCCTTTAGGGTTTTACCTGGGGACAAGGGGGCATTTAGGGGGACTGGGGTTTAGGGGGGGACATGGGGGCATATCTTGACTTGTCTCTCTATTCCATATGTTACTCAACCCTTTAGGGGTTTACCAAGTTGCTCGAAATGGATCTTACAACGTAGCATCCATAGTGTCCTAGAAGTTGCTTGAAATGGCTCTTGGAAGGTAACATCCAAAGCGTCTTCGAAGTTGCTCGAAATGGATGTTACAACGTAGGAATCGTACACCGTAGCATCCATAGTGTCCTGGAAGTTGATTCAAATGGCTGTTGGAACGTAGCATCCGAGGCGTCTTCCAAGTTGCTCGAAATGGATCTTACAACGTAGCATCCATAGTGTCCTAGAAGTTGATTGAAATGGCTGTTGGAAGGTAACATCCAAAGCGTCTTGGAAGTTGCTGGAAATGGATGTTACAACGTATAGCAATGGAACACCATAGCATGCATAGTGTCCTGGAAGTTGATTGAAATGGCTGTTGGAACGTAGCATCCGAGGCGTCGTCCAAGTTGCTCGAACTGGATGTTACAACGTAGCATCCATAGCGTGCTGCTAGTTGATTCAAATGGCTGTTGGAACGTAGCACCCGAGGCGTCTTCCAAGTTGCTCGAAATGGATCTTACAACGTAGCATCCATAGTGTCCTAGAAGTTGCTTGAAATGGCTCTTGGAAGGTAACATCCAAAGCGTCTTCGAAGTTGCTCGAGATGGATGTTACAACGTAGGAATGGTACACCGTAGCATGATAGTGTCCTGGAAGTTGATTGAAATGGCTGTTGGAACGTAGCATACGAGGCGTCTTCCAAGTTGCTCGAACTGGATAGTACAACGTAGCATCCATAGTGTCCTAGAAGTTGATTGAAATGTCTCTTGGAAGGTAACATCCAAAGCGTCTTCGAAGTTGCTCGAGATGGATGTTACAACGTAGCAATGGTGCACCGTAGCATGCATAGTGTCCTGGAAGTTGATTGAAATGGCTGTTGGAACGTAGCATCCAAAGTGTCTTCCAAGTTGCTCGAACTGGATCTTACAACGTAGCATCCATAGTGTCCTAGAGGTTGATTGAAATGTCTCTTGGAAGGTAACATCCAAAGCGTCTTGGAAGTTGCTCGAAATGGATGTTACAACGTATAGCAATGGAACGCCATAGCATGCATAGTGTCCTGGAAGTTGATTGAAATGGCTGTTGGAACGTAGAAAAACACGTGAATATCACTCTCTAGGGTGGAAAAAATCCTTTTGAGGCCCTGAAACTATTGCGCCTGCCACGCAAAAGCAGGGGTCACATTCGCCCCTAAAGGAGGGTCACATTCGCCCCTAAACCCACTTCATCCCCCTTCATTTAGGGGCAAATGCGACCCAAGATGGAATATAGGGGCAAATGCGACCCCCGTGCCTTTCACGAACCTGAATTAAGGCCATTTGGGGATGATTTCCCTTACTAACCATGATTCCAGTGAGGTCGCAGTGAGGTCGTTATAATTTACGCAGATATATATATATATATATATATTCAAATAAATTATAAAACTATTGTATATAATTGGAAAACCATAGGGACAAAATTGTCCGTACGGGTTTGGCCACTTTTGTGGTCCGTAACGTTGTTTTTTATTCAAATATTGACCATGTCTGGCTGCAATCCCTTTACTTACGGATCAATCGTTTTCCTGAAATCTTGGATTAGCCGGACTGGTTCCAGCAGTATATGAGTGTCTCGTCTAGAGTATAGACTTTCATGAATCAGTGCTCTCCGGCGCACATGCGTGCGAAGGTTGTTTGGGAGGTATGGGGTGCATCCGCTTCCAGAAATATGTAATTTTGGGGTTTCGCATGGCCCACTTCCGGCTCCTGGTGTATTAAGAATAGACCCAAGTTGGTGGCTCGAACTAGGTAGCGAGCAGCCAGGGTTTGCAAGTCCGCAGGTTGGGGTAGTTTAATACTATATTATTTTATAAAGTATATACACACTCGACTCGACTCAAGCTAGGTACTACTCTAGTACTACTTGTCTACTTGTGACTTGTGATTCTGAAATATTTTCTTAGTTGGTTTTTCTCTGTTGGGGAGTTCTTGGAACACAGAAATTTGAAAACTACAGAGCCAGAGCCTGAGCCAAAGACATATTTACTAACGACAACGCAGTATGGAGACTTTGAACACTCAAGTAAGTATGGATTTTTGTTGTCAGCATCGTTGTTTTCAGAGAAACAAATTTGTTTGAATTTGATGAGTTTAGGGTATTCTCCAAACACAAACTCTGAGGAGTTTTGACAGTTTTGATAGCTTTTTTCATTTGCAAAAACAACAACAATACAATCTTGCAGGCCACATATATGCTTGTAGATTTTGGCAACAGAGATTGGAAAACTCTCCCTCCCGACTTGACTCCCAACTATATAATTGTTTTCGTGTAGCAAAATTTTGTTCTCGAGAAACCCTTACGACTTTTTGAACCCAAACGGGACTCAATCTCAATCTCTGAGTTTTTTTTTTCGTGTCCATGGTTTTCAGAAGAAAATGAGTTTGGACCTGGACATTGGAGATCTTGAGAACCTCTGAGCCTCTGAGTTTGTTTTTTTTCTCCAGTTCATTTTTTCAGGAACAAATGAGTTTGGAGATTTTGCACCTGAGTTTGGAGAATTCTCCAAACTCTTTTTTTTTTAATGAACTTTTTGAGAATTTTCCAAATGCATTTTTAGAAAAAAATCTGAGAATTTTTTCTTTTGATTCTGAGTTTGGAGAAAATCTCCAAACTCAACCCTTGAGTTTGGAGAATTCTCCAAACTCAACCCTTGAGTTTGGAAAATTCTCCAAACTCAGAAAAAAAATCTTTTGAATCTGAGTTTGGAGAATTCTCCAAACTCAGCACTTGAATTTGGAGAATTCTCCAAACTCATTTTGGTCTTTGAAAAATAAACATGTTTTCGGATTTTGTTTCTTTTGAATCTGAGTTCGGGGAAATCTCCAAACTCAACCCTTGAGTTTGGAGAATTCTCCAAACTCAACCTCTGAGTGTGTGATTTTTTAAATTTCGATTTTTTTTCCAAAAAAAATGAGTTTGAGAATTTTGAACCTGAGTTTGGAGAATTCTCCAAACTCAACCTCTGAGTGTGTGTATTTTTTAAATTTCGATTTTTTTTTCGAAAAAAATGAGTGTGGAGATTTTGAATTCCTTGAGTTTGGAGAATTCTCCAAACTCAGAAAAAAAATTCTTTTGAATCTGAGTTTGGAGAATTCTCCAAACTCAGCACTTGAGGTTGGAGAATTCTCCAAACTCATTCTGTTTTTTTTTAAAACATTTTTTCGGGATTTTGTTTCTTTTGAATCTGAGTTTCGCTAAATCTCCAAACTCAACCCTTGAGTTTGGAGAATTCTCCAAACTCAACCTCTGAGTGTGTGTATTTTTTAAATTTCGTTTTTTTTTCGAAAAAATGAGTTTGGAGATTTTGAACCTGAGTTTGGAGAAAATCTCCAAACTCAAAAAAAATATGCGTGCGAAGCTTTTTTTTGATACAAAAAACACCCTCTGCACGCATATTTTGTTACCAAAAAAGCCTTCGCACGCATATTTTTTTTTGAGTTTGGAGATTTTCTCCAAACTCAGGTTCAAAATCTCCAAACTCATTTTTTTGCGAAAAAAAACGAAATTAAAAAAATACACACACTCAGAGGTTGAGTTTGGAGAATTCTCCAAACTCAAGGGTTGAGTTTGGAGATTTCCCCGAACTCAGATTCAAAAGAAACAAAATCCCGAAAAACATGTGTTTTTTCAAAAACCAAAATGAGTTTG